GAGAGAGAGAGAGATATTTAGGGTGCCAGTCACCCCTCATAACTCCTTTCCAAAGATGAGGTAAGACAGCTGAATTATTTAATGCATTGGACCAGTTTTGCTAAAAAGCACATTTCAGTTCTAGAAACTCAGATTAGAGAGATAAAGAGAAATTCAGAAATATTGCTGAAAAAAAGAAGGACCAAAAGAAAGGAAGAGAGAAGGAGAAAAATTATTGAATCATTTTAAGATAGAGAAGCATATGAAGACAGGCTGACGAGTGTAAAATTATTCAATTTCCCTTCAAATATTTCTTCTTCCTCAATAAGAATGCCCCATAGGGAGAAGTTTTGGATGAATTTTAGGGCAAACAAAATGATGAGAATAGCTGCCTCAGATAACACATGAATAAGGGATTGGAGTAGATATTTCTATTTTGAGTTTGTTGATTTACCATAAAGTAAAGCAATGCAATAAATTATTTTTTCGATATATAGGTGACTTATGGTCCAAGCAGCCAAAAGATGGGCAAATAATGACATGGCAAATCAAACAACAGGATTGCTGCAAGGAAAAGTCAGATGATGGTTGGAACATCATTCTGGTTCAGAACAAATAGCAACTGTAGAAATTGGCTCAAATAGGTTCAATATTAATTGTAGAAATTGTTGTTGAAAGTTTGGCCTGAAAAGCTGTAGATATAGTATTGTTGCATAAAAGAAAGCTTGTAAATACTGATGACTTCGAAACAATTTCAAAAAAGTTTTGTGAAGGAAAGCTACAGTTAGGGATACACAAAATCTAAACTTGCAATGCCATTTATGTTGCAGCAATGCCAGAAAATATTTCAGATCTAGTTGTTGAAATAATCACTGCCAAAATATCTGATGTAGATGGGTACAAATTAAAAAGCTTGGTTACAAGGAAAATTCAGAAAAATCTTACATAAAGATTGGACCAAAGCTTTGTGATATGATAAATGGAGTAGAATCCTATAATAGTCCTAAGTTTTGAGAAGTTCATAGGAGGAGGACGTTTAAGCCCTACAAATTGTATTCGAGAAACCGAGGCATTTACACACAATAAAAAAAGGGACCATGTTTCTATTGTCAGAAGAAGGACATCTCGCTACCCAATGTCCTCAAAAGTCTCCAAAATAGATACAAACCCTTTATATGCAGTTAGAAATTCGAGAAGAATGGTTCGATGATAGAGACTCCAGAAGAATTAGAAAAGGCTTATGAAGAATAAAATGACTTCATTATGGAATAGTTTTTTTTGTTTTGCTTTTTATTTTTTAACTTCATGTAAAGTACCATTATTTTTCTTTCTTTTTGGCCCGTGGTTTTGTACTTTATTTTAGCTCATGGTTTACGCCCAGAGCTTATCCCATGATGGTCTCTAGCCCAAATAAAGGAGGAGGATTGTATTAGGTAGGCTAACCAAGGTAAAACTTTGCCACATCTTTTCATGAATCTTAAACCTATGTTATATGCTCATGCTAGAGCTTTGCCTATAAGCTACCTAATACAACATCGGTTAGGAGAGGCGATTTGATGACTTCAGGTCTAACTAAGGGTATGTGCTTGATAGAGCAAAATAACATAACATGATTGATGTAGCTAAATCCAAATAGTTGAGATAAGGCTTGAATGATGCTGATGATGTTTTTGCCCATGGTATTGTGAACCCCTTAAAATATGAACAAGTAGTATTTGACACTTTTGATGTATATAAATATGCAAAAGTTGAACATTTGTGTTTGACTTTAAGCAAAATGGGTGTTCTATCTCAAAGCATCTTAAGTAAAGTCACCTAAACCCGTCCCAATGCGTCAATCTGGGTAATGATCGCGTTTAGACTTTGAATATAATAGATGACATTATTTCCGAAACACATCGAGCAGCCGAATAAGTCTCACAAGGTCATCCTGTGAACATGGACGATTTTTCAAAGTTCGCACTTATTTTGTTGTAGAGAAGCCAGTTAGGGTGCCACCTCCCTGGCAAGGAATCTTTTCATCTTTTGGTGTTCTATCTTCCCCTTCACATGCAAATCGACTTCAGTTTGTCTAATAGATTTTAAAAATCTAGACTAAAATAGAGGTAAGAGCATACAAATCCTGTTCTTAGACCTCTGGAGATTTGATATTTCCAGACCTCTGGAGATTTGATATTTCCAGAACTATTTATGACACCTTGTTCTAATACAAAAGAATGCAAAGATACTAACCTATTTAAGGAATTTGGATTGTTTGGGATGGTTTCTGATATGTTCGAAGATGAATCAGAAGAATGTTGTGAGAAGCTGACTATTGTTGCTCATTCTCTTCGTCTTCATTACTCTCATCAAACCTGGGGGTTGGACCGGTCTATTTCCTCATCAATCTCTTCAAAATCAAATCAAAATTCATCGAGGACTTTTCGACTAAAGCTTGAAGCTTAAGATATTCCCGGTCTTCCTTTTCATTCCCAGTCTTCCTTTTCAGATATTCCCAGTCTTCCTTTTCATTTCATCTTTATAGATGTCAAAGGGAATTGGGTAGATTGGTCTGAAAATTGGAATATACCTATTGATGGACCAGGTCATAATATTTGTCATTTCTATTCGAATCACAGAAGCTATGGATCTCCCTTTCATATTGATGATCCTTTAATTTCTTGGATTGGAGATGCTTTTTCAAGTGATTAATCTACAAGCAAGTATCTGCGTTCACCGTCACCAAAAATATTCGTGGCAAAACACATGGATGACGAATGTTCGAAGCAAATAATACTTTTCCATCTTGATATTATTTCTGAAAAAGTTTATTTTCCGTAGTAACATTTAGTTACAATAGAAATAACATTTTTTCTCCCAATGAACAAAAATGTAGAAATGGTGAACTGTTTCCTCTTATTGTGACCCCAGAACACATTAATACCAAATCAATCACTCCAAATCCCAACATGCTCCAAAAGATAATGGAGAGAGGACTATATTTTTTTTTTTAATCAAAGGAGGGTAGAACTGCAGGAAGCGAGAGGATGTAGAGTCACCTGGAAAAGGAGTTACATAAGGAACTGACACCCTAACTGGCTTCTCTACGACAAAATAAGTGCTGAAAGAAAAAAAAATACCAGAAGAAAGAGCTAGAAAATAGAATGGAACTCAAAAGTTTAGAATTAGTTCAAGATTTATTTCTCACCTCACTCATTCTATACTTAAAGGAAAATCTTGTATGCTTGTTCTACTTGAGGTTATAGTCTTGCCAGAAGCTTCCTGACTTTTTATCATTGTTTCCTAATAAATGAAACCAAACACTACTGTCTAAAAATGAAACCAAACAATTCCTGCATGGATGGTTAAGCTCCTCCTGGGTTAATGTGCTTTGTCAGATCTGAACTTGTCACTTAAAGAACCAAATAATTAGGACTTCCCCCAACCAAACAAGAAAAAAAGAAGAAGAGCCAAATGATACGAACTTTTAGACTCTCTCTCTCTCTCTGCATATAATATAAGTGTATAGATATAAAGGAAACACGTCTATTCAATGAATTCATGCACTGTCTACATGAATGGTTCTGTGTCTCCCACAGCGAATGTGCGTTGTCAGATCTGGCTGCTCTATTTAAATCACCCATTTTAATAACCTTGGTATCCACACCGAAGCTAACAACACAATGAGAGAGAGAGAGAGAGGGAGAGATCCCCTTGGAATAAATCCACAGACATGTCCTGCCATCCATTAGAAGTGGTGATCGATCAAACACTCTCTCTCTAGAGTGCCCTATGGATTGAGTGATAAAACCCCGCCCTACCCCAAAAAAAAAAAAAAGGTAAATAAAAGAAAAAGGCAAAAGCTTATATAAGGGCTAGGCCCAAACAATAAAATTATAAAATTTAAAACCTTAGAAATTGACGGTCCAAAAATGCATTACAAGATGCTCTATTCCCACTACTTGAAATCTATTTTTTTCATGTCCATGCATCTTGAGGTAGAGATGATCAATTTGAAGATTAGTGGGCACCGAAACAAGCTCCTCTTTAAGGAAGGCCAATTTGTGAATAATGTTCATAGATCTATTTGATCTAAACTATTTTTGAAGTTTTGAAATTTATAATTAGATACGAAATTAAGTTTTTAGGCCATCACAAAGATTTACGGTATTGAAAGAATATCTTTCGACACTATTTGACGGTGCATATTACTTTGATTGTTTGGGTCCTCGTTCTTATACAAGCTACATCCATAGAAAAATGGAAAAGTTATAGATATACACTATTTTTGAAGTTTTAAATTTTATAATTAGATATAAAAATAAGATTTCAAGTCATCACAAAGATTTCAAGTATTGAAACAATATATTTCGACATTATTTGAAGGTGCACCTTACTTTGATTGTTTGGGGCCTTGGCCTTGTACAAACCACACTCTTTTAAAAAGGGAAAAATTATAAACACCCTCAACTCCCAAAAAAAATAGTAAAAAAAAAAAAAACATTACTTTGGATACTACACTATTAACCCCAAAACAATTTATTTTTATATCCAGCACCCAATAAAAAAATGAATTTTGTTAACCAAAATACCATCATTTCATCCCACATTTCCTACTATGTCTAAGGCATATATTTTTGTGTCAAACCGGTACAATTTCAGTATAAGTCAATCTGACGCATTTTTGTGTCCGGTTAGCAAAATTTGAATATCAGAAGCTGATCTTGCAGATTTTGTATCTAACCGGCACTTTCCGTCAAAACCTGGTTTGGCACAAGCCACTAGCACATTTTTGTGCTGGGCCAGCACATGTTTGGTGTCACAATTTGGAAATGCGGCTTAAAATAGGGGATATTTTGATTAAAAAAAAATCTACTTTCCTGGTTGGAGGTGGATGTAAAAACAAACAGTTTTGAAATTTATAGTGTGGTATCAAAAACATTTTTTCGTATAAATTATATATATATATATATAAACCTTACAATAATTGTGCAACTATAATGAATAGTAATATAAGTGGAATCTCAGCTGTCAGATTTTCATCGAGTGGTTTAAAATACATATCACTCTTTTAATTTTAATTTTTTTTTTATAGATCTGATTAAGATGAACTTTTGGTTGTATATACCTAACACTATTGCGTACCATATAAAAATATAAAAAATTTATTTTCAATAATTTAAAATGACCAAATTACCCTCATGATTTTTCAGGGGTATTTCGATCATTTTACATTTTAAGAAATATTTTTTATATAATTTTTTAATTGTGCACCTTATTTTTTAGTACACATGTCTAAATTTTCATTATGATCCGATTTCTCAAAAAAAATATTAAAATTTGTATAGTAATATGCATTCTGAACCACATGATAAATATCTGACAGTTGGGATTCCACTTATATTATTATTCATTATAGCTGTTAAGCTATTGTTAGTTTTTTTTTATTATTCAGTATAGCTGCTCAGCTATTGTTAGTTTTTTTTTTCATATATATATATATATATATATATATTATTTTTTTGTGATGGTGGTGGGGGGAGGGGAGGGTATGGGTGGGTGGGGGTATCTCCAATTTTCCCTTTAAAAAAAAAAAGCTAGGGAATTTCTAGTTAATAACAATAAATTATAGTTAGAGCATGGTAGTGGGTTGGGTTTTATCATATTTAAATCCTAACGCCATAATTGAATGCTCCTATTCTTTTAAAAATATAAGCCTAGTTGTTTGTTTGTGCACTAAAAACACAGGTATTGCAACATTAGATAAACGAACTCCACCAACCAACCCATAAATCCCATTTTCACCAAACCAATTGGCAACCCAAACATATAATTATGCAATATTTACCCAAAACAAGGAAAAGCATACGATTTTTTTAAGAAAAAAGAGATTAATTTAGAAAAATGAAAAAAAAAAAAAACCAGAGATAGAGAAAATAAAGGGCAGGGATTACAAAAGAAAATAGTCTAAATCAAATCAGATAAGGCATTGTTTGCTTCCAATTATAAGTGGCACGTACCTTGAGAAGCTCCGGGTTCTGTATTCTGAAAGGATGCTTCATTATACAGTGACAAAAAATCGTGAGTGGGTTTTGCTCCTGCAAAAATACCAAAATTCACATGATGTAATCTCTCTCTCACATATACACAAAGATTTAAGAATTAAACCCCCCTCTCTCACACACACATAATAAAGAATTGAGAAATGCTTGAAAAACTACCCCTCTCTCTCTCATCCACACACAGTTAAGAATTGAGAAATGTTTGAAAAATTACCACCTCTCTTTCTCTGATTTATAAATTGAGAAATGGTTTTGAAGAACTACCTTCAGTGGTGAAAGGTAACTGAGGTTGAGGAAGCTCCATTCCAGAAGCCAAAATACACAAGAATCCAGCGCTTTCAATGGCTAAAAATGGTACCAAATGCGAGAATTTATTGTTAATCTACAAACAATCTGATCCGTCTCAAAATTCTTGCCGTCGACACCAAAACCAGGAGTCGATTTATAATTGTGAACGCTGAATGAACTTGAGAAGCCTGGGTCACTCAAACCTCAAAGCTTTGTAGCACCAGTCGTGGAAATTCAATATTCCTTCACAAAATAAAGAAAATAACCAGATCAGTATAACTCTTCATGATGCTTTTAAGTTCTGACACTTACGATTGAATTACATAAAAATAGCGTACCATATAAGAGTTCAGTAAAATTTCATAATATTCATTTTCTCCCAATTTAGCACCTATTACTGGTAAAATTTCCCATAGTTTGGCCTCAACTTTTAACTGTAACCTCATCCTGCATTCTACAATACTATCCTTGTTGCTCCCATTACAAAAAATCTGTATTTTTTCGAATTTAAGGTGACTTTGATCCAAATTTAGCGACTAAATTCAGATTATTTCTCCGAAATCCACAGGCTAATCATTTCCACAGTGAACGAGCAAAAACAATTGTTTTCAACGCCTTTTACTTCTCAGAATTGTCTCCTTTTATCACTTAAATTCACCCTTAATTGCATAAATTCACAAAAAGTTCATCGAAAAATCTTTTCAATACTCGTATAAGTGCATAAATTCACAAATAATTCATCCAAAAATGTCTCATTTTGTATCATCGTAAAAAGATCCCAGATCTGATCAAATTTCAGAATCAAGCTTATAAGTTATAGCCAAGAAAAATAGACGATCTGAGACTCTAGAAAGCATCACTCAATCGATAAAAATATTGCTTTTAGACAAAAAAATTTTCTAAAACGAATTTTGTATCATTAAATCAACCACGAAAGAGCATAGCACACTAAAGCATGTGATAATTTCACGAGAAATTTGCTTCTTGATGTTGTTGAATGTTCATACCAGGCGAAATTCAGTGTATAGGAAGCCGAATAATTGCAGAAAGTAATGCAGCGAAATTTGGACCGAAATTCAAATAATATTTTGGGACGCGCTTCAAAAGTTCTTCAGATAAACGAAACGAGGCGAAATTTCACCGAAATATGCAAAAATTTCGGGAAATCTCTAACACGGCGTTATCTTTTTCGATGTATTTGTGAAGCAAAACCTCCTCAAAGGCGAAACAGTCGAAATTCACCGAAATTTCGGCCCAGTGTCTCCGGCGCTTTGCCACTATCTCTGAAC